CTTCCTATTATTGCTTATACTCTCTCTACAACAAAATTAGAAATAAGGGCAAAATAGTCTCTGCTGGGTATTGAGGGGGAAGGGAGAGGGCGGAGTGGGTGGTAAGGGAGGGGGTGGTGGCAGGGGGGTGAAATGAACCAAGCCTTGTATACACATATGAATAATAAAAGAAAAAAGAAAAAAAGAAAAAAAAAAAAAACTTTGTCTACAAACACACCAACAATGCATCTGTGATGGCTGTGGGTGGAAACACAAAAGCATCCACTTTGCAGAATGGCTCAATTAAGGCTCCCAGGCTACCATTGCAAGAAAGGGTAATACAATGATCGGGGAGCTGTTTAGGTTAAAATATTGCCACAGCCTCTCCATATACTCCTGAAAAACAGTGCTGACACTGTGCTTGCTCCCTAAATTGCTGGATACAGAAACAGACACAATACAACAAAGCCCACATGTGATCATGAAACCTTCTTGTTCCTAAAGAATGGACATGAAGCTGAAGAGCAGGTGTTCTGCTTGCCCACTGCTCACAGACAGATGGGATCTTTTATAACAAAGGAAGTAATGGAAGCTGGGTACAGTAGCTCAAGTCTGCATTCCTAGCTACTCAGAAGGCAGACATTAAGAGGATTAAAGTTTAAAACTAACCAGGGCAAAAAGTTAGTGGGACCACATCTCAACCAATTGCTGCGTGTGGCAGTGCATGCTTGTCATCCCAGGGAAGCCCAAATGAGAAGGATCACAGTTCAGGCCAGCCCAGTCATAAAGCAAGACCCTATCTCAAAATAAACAATACTAAAAGGGCTGTCTAAGTAGCTCAAGTGGTACAGTGCCTGCCTAGCAAGTGCAAGGCCTGAGTTCAACCATTCAGCATTGTCAAAGAAAAAAAAAAATGAAGAACAACCTGGATGGAGCATGGTGGATCATGCCTGCAATTGCAGCTACACAAGAGGCAAAGGTGGAAGAACTGTGCTCCCAGGCTAGCCTAGGCACAAGTGCGAGACCCTACCTGAAAAACAACTAAAGCAAAAAGGGCTGGGGACATGGCTAACCTGCTAGAGTGTTTCCCCAGATGAAGAGGAAGATAACCTTGAAACAGGGTAAAGTGTCAATTAAAAGCTGTAACCTCGGACAGAGCTGTGAGGAATTACCCATTAGAGCCCTGCAAAAGTTCAGGACCGAGATGAAAGGCACAATGCAGAGATAAGCACCCATTCCTGCCTTTCTTTGTCTCCACTTGTAAATAAACTTTCCAAAGCAGGACTCCCCTGCTGTTCTTATGTAAACCTTAGGTCTCTAACCCACTACTAGCCCTACTTTATGGGAGAGCACATTCCTTGTAACCTGATGCCCTGAACTGCCTTTTAAATATCCTGTGAGGTTACTCCAGAGGCACCTGCACACCCATGTTTATTGTGGCACTATTCACAATAGCCAAGTTAGGGAAACAGCCAAGATGCCCCACCACTGATGAATGGATTAAGAAAATGTGGTATCTATACACAATGGAATTCTATGCAGCCATGAAGAAGAACGAAATGTTATCATTCACTGGTAAATGGATGGAATTGGACAACATCATCCTGAGTGAGGTTAGCCTGTCCCAAAAGACCAAAAATCGTATGTTCTCCCTCATATTCGACATTAGATCAAGGGCAAACACAACAAAGTGATTGAACTTTGATCACAAAATAAAAGCGAGAGCACACAAGGGAGATATGAGGATAGGTAAGACACCTAAAAAATTAGCATTTGTTGCCCTCAATGCAAAGAAACTAAAGCAGATACCTTAAAAGCAACTGAGGCCAATAGGAGAAGGGGACCAGGAACTAGAGAAAAGGTTAGATCAAAAAGAATTAACCTAGAAGGTAACACACATGCACAGAAAATTAATGTGAGTCAACTCTCTGTATAGCTATCCTTATCTCAACCAGCAAAAACCCTTGTTCCTTCCTATTGTTGCTTATACTCTCTCTTCAATAAAATTAGAGATAAGGGCAAAATAGTTTCTGCTGGGTATCTAGGGGGTGGGGGGAGAAGGAGGGGATAGAGTGGGTGGTAAGGGAGGGGGTGGGGGCAGGGGGGAGAAATGACCCAAACATTGTATGCACATATGGATAATTAAATAAATAAATAAATAAATATAAATAAAAATAAATATTCTGTGAATCCTTTGTTCAGGGCTTAGACACAGGTACACGTCTGGGCCCACTAGTGTAAAATTAAAATCTGAGTTCTCCACTCCTCAGAGTGTTGCTTGGTTTCTCCTCTGACTACATTGCCACAACATATGGAGGCCCCAGTGAGATTCCAACCGACTGACCCCTTGTGCCACCAGCTGGTGGCTGGGCTGCACTGGAGTAGGGAAGGGCACCGGACTGAACTAGATGGTGCGCCACCCGATGGTATTCCAGGTCCTCCTTCACCCCAGTGGTGCTCCACATCTCTGAACAGTCTTGACCCGGCTTGGACTCCAAGGAGAAATGGACCAACTCATCTGGCAGTCTCGTCAGGACTTGGTAAGCACCACCCCTGGGAAATCAGTCCAAAGTCAGGTTCCATCCCACTGACCGAAGGGGAGCTTGATCCACTCCTGGGAACCTCCGAGAGGAGTTCCACAGGTCAGGAACTTCTCCCAGATGGGGGAAAGAAAACTGATACAACTTCGGTGTGAATGTGTGTGTGTGTGTGTGAATTTGTTTAAAGCATGGGCAAAATTTAATCTGCTCTTAGAATTCCAGCTCATTTTATGCATGCTTAAGTTGACATTTTTTCTGGCATGCTTAATTTATAAAACTTTTTTGTGTGTATATGTAAACATATTCAAACTGGTTCTTAAATTGCTACTATAAGGTTAATATGATACTCAAGATAACAAAAACCAGGGTATTTGTTTTAAAGATCTTTGTTTTAAACTGCTTAGGCTTTTACATTTAAATATGTAAACAGCTTAAGGACGATTATTATTATAGAGTAAATGTAAAAGTTATTACTCTGTTCTGCTACCTTAAATAACAACAACAACAAAACACAGGTTTTCAAACTTATTTCAGTCAGGTCTCACTAGGATGCAGACATTCAGGGGTTAACACTATGGCTTAGCAAGGAAAGGAAAAAAAAAAGAAAGAGGCTACAGTCTGCAACAAAGTCCTGGAATTTAAAATAACCTTAGCCTGTTTCATTCTGTCATAAATAAAATCTGGGATTTAATTCTCTCTTATAATCTATGGGTCTATTAACAAATGAGCATTCTATAAATTGCTTTTATACAAAAAATAATTTCAGGATTGCTTTCTTTCTTGTTTTTTTTTTCATGCAAATGTAAGGCTCTAAGTTAAAAGATTTTAAGAGTTATTTTCAACAAGTAACAAAATATATAAAAGGTATTAAGGATATGTTTTTTTTCAAAATAAATAAAGGGTTAAAAGAATACTTTTAGATAAAGAGGAGGATGAAGATCAGCTCCCCAGAGGATTCAAAATAACTTGTCACAAAGATACAGAGTAAATTGTCATAAAATGATACAGCTTATACATGGTATATAACTGGTTAAGTTAACTAAAATCCAGTTACATTAAAGGTTTTATAAGGTCAAAATTTAATGTACTGATATTAAACTAAAACTTAATTCTCTAAGCTCATAACAACAAGGCTACCTTAAAATATATTGGTCTAGATAACATTTACAAAAAATTGTCTTATAATGGTTTTGTTTTGTCAAGATAACTCAGAAATTTTTGATGTTACAGGTTAATCCATAAATTTGTAAAGATAACAAGAGTTTATTAAAACAAAGAGAGACAAGAGGCAGCTGAACACAGGGAGTACTGCTGCACTGATATGAGGGTTAAGACAGATTTACTTATGTAAAGCCAAAGTGCACCATCCAGATAGGATAAAAATAAATAAATAAATAAAAACTCCAAAAGGAGCATGACACTGGAAGTCAAGATCTCTGGCTTTTATTAGACATAACAGTGGGGATGTTAGTCCTACTCCTTCCACATGGCAGGTGGAAGGAATTTTTTCCCAGGGATGGCCAGATTGGGCCTGTTTCTTTAGGGGCAGCACCATTGACTATAGGTTGATGGGATTCTGCTGTATGTCCTAAGCCATCTATTAATGTCAACAATCTGGGATGTGATCCCTTATCAACATCTGAGCATAGTTCTTGGCCACTATGTTTCCTAACTCCACACTTAGTCCCCACAAATATTTACCTGTGTTCTCTGGTGATTTTTGTCAGGGTTTTAACTACTAAGGTAACTGTGTCATGTTCATTTAAGAGTTGGTTTATGTTGGGGTTAACAATGAGGACAGCCATGTTAGGACTAGACCCCTCCCCCTTGCAGATGGTTTACCTTTATCATCCTAGATATATGCCAGGGACACTTGGGCAGACAGTGACCTTCCTGGTACTTTTCCACTAGCCCCCTATATCTAGTCCAAGCCTGAGTATGGCAATGGGCTCTTGCTCTTTTGCTGAGGTCCCCCTCCACAGAGCTCCTGCCTAAATAATAAACCCTGTACCAGTGTTTGAGCTGTCTCCATGCCTATTCCGTGCCTCTTATTTTCTAACAGTTATATAAAACTTTCTAGATGACCTCGTGGTTAAACAACTGTTGTCTTGGATGATTCTAATACAGTTTGTACCTTGGGCTAGTTTGTGACTGGGCTGTTTGGGTTTGCTAAAACTGTTCTTTCCCCCTACAACTGATAAAAATCTAAAGTTTTACTTCAAGAGCAACAACTAAATTAATGTGTATTAACCTCTATAGAGTTTTGATGCTCTTGCTGGTTCCTGTATATTAAATATATTTGTATTTTTCAAGTATATCAAGCCTTCTACAATACAAAAATTGGTAACAAAAAGTTAGTGGTACTGATGTACTGTTCTGTTAGTTGCCAAATTGTACATCAAAATTTTAACCATGGCTCTTTTAAGTTTTTGTCACTTCAGTTCTGATCCTCCTGGGACGTTTACAATCAAGTCCATAAAAATGACACTAATAAGTGCTTATGTGTCAACCAAGCTGACTGTTCAGACATCTGCTTTTATTAGATTCTGTTTTGTATTGTCCTTGTCTAAAGTTCACTGCCTAAGAGCCATTCCTTCTAAGCCTCTTTGTTGCTTAAATTTGGCCAAAAGGGTCTAATTGGTACCGACTCCCACCTGATCTGCTCGTTATTCCCTCCCAATGTGGGACTGAAACCAAACAAACAGAATTCAGGAAAAAACAGCCAATCAAGAAAGATCTTCAGTCTGCAGCCATACCACCCTGAATGCACCTGATCTCGTCTGATCTTGGAAGCTAAACAGGGTCAGGCCTGGTTAGTACTTGGATGGAAGACCCCAGTCTCAGGCATGAGGTCTCTGATGTGTTACTGCCTTCTGACTCTGTTACATTTTTAGGTTGTCCAATTGGGAGGCTGGGATGACTGCTCGGCCTGTGTAAGGCCGCTTTCCTTCCAGGGAAAACTGAGGTATGCCTTCATCTTTTATCAGTATCTGTCACCTGTGTGCAGCATATCAATCTCTGAGTGTACCAGGAGAGGGACGATTTACTATAAAGAAAGCTGATAGGCCTAACTGGGTTGCAAGAACAAAGACACTATAGGGCATATGGGTTGTTCAGAGAAAGACAGGGACCGCTTAAAGTCATGGAACAGGGGAGGAAATAAACCTCCTTGTGTCACCCTACCCTTCCACCCCACTCCCATATCAGTTTACTAAGGGGAGAGCCGCAAATCTAGAGAGACCACCCAGAGGTGATTACCTAGGTGAACCTGGGCCAGTAAAAGACATTGATCTGCCACCACCATGACCACCTGTTAAGGCTTCCTTCTAGGACAGGAAAGCTTAACTTGGAATCTCAGCTGTACAGCTACTATTAGATGTACAGTTGACAGGTTATGGTGCACCAGCCTGGGAATCTTCCTTGTCTGAGGGACCCTTGCATATCAGTACTTGCCAGCTAACTGGAAGGTCATTTGCACATTAGCATTCCTCACCCCAGATAAACATAGTGCCTAACAATCAGACACCTCAACCTTTAATGGCTCATATGCAGTCGAAGAGAGCTATCCAATTCATACCTTTATTAATCAGACTGGGGATAAGGACTGGGAAAGGAACAGGCATAGGAGGGACTGCCTCGTCAGTCACCTACTATAATCAATTATCTGTGGACCTAACAAATGACATAGAACAAGTGGCTAGGTCTATAGTGACAATGCAGGACCAGCTGAACTCTCTAGCATCAGTGGTCCTCCAAAACCAGAGAGGGTTGGATTTACTCACTGCCAAAAAGGAGGGCTTTGACTTTTCTTAAACACAGAGTGTTGTTTTATGTAAAGTGCATAGAAATAGTCAGAGATACGGCTGATTCCATTGTCTGGCCCTCTCCTTATGCTTCTATTGGCACTTGTGTTTGGTATGTGCCTTTTTAACGCCATAACTAACTTCATTAGTTCACAAATGGAGGTGATAAAGTTACAGCTCCTGGTAACGCAATATAGGTCTTTGGGACAAGAAAAACCTTATAAGATTTCTAAAGTCTAGTGTTGATGCTTGTCCAAAAGTGGAAAAAGCATCAAAAGGGGGGAATGAAGAGGAAGATAGCCTTGAAACAGGGTTGTAAAACATGGTAAAGTGTCAATTAAAAGCACTAACCTCGGACAGAGCTGTGAGGAATTACTCATTAGAGCCCTGCAAAAGTTCAGGACCGAGATGAAAGGCACCATGCAGAGATAAGCACCCATTCCTGCCTTTCTTTGTCTCCACTTGTAAATAAACTTTCCAAAGCAGGACTCCCCTGCTGTTCTTATCTAAACCTTAGATCTCTAGCCCACTACTAGCCCTACTTTATGAGAGAGCACATTCCTTGTAACCTGATGCCCTGCACTGCCTTTTAAATATCCTGTGAATCCTTTGTTCAGGGCTCAGACATAGGTACACGTCTGGCCCCGCTAGCGTAAAATTAAAATCTGAGTTCTCCACTCCTCTGAGTGTCACTTGGTTTCTCCTCTGACTACATTGCCACAACACAGAGAGCATGAGGCTCTGAGTTCAAAACCCCAGGACTGCAAAAAAAGGACAAAAAAATACTCCATAGAAGTTAATAGAGAAATCTCTGAAGTCAAAGTATCTAGACTAATTCCAAAAACACTTAGTACTTAACTTTGAGCACAAGAATTTTTTTCTTTGCTTCGGTGTTCTCACCTATAAAATGGCAATAACACATACTCAGTTCAAGGCACAGGACCCAGAATGTTGCAATCAATTAACAAATGTTAGAGATTATGATCAAAAGTCACCTGACATGGAAGCGTCAGAGCTAAAATTCATGTCTGATTCCTAAGCCTTGTCATAAGTTACCATATAATACTGGCTCCTGCTTGAATGGAAAACAAAGAAACTAATGCAGATGGGCTATTCTTCAAC